ACACACACACACCATCACACACACACACACCATCACACACACACACACACACACACCATCACATACACACACACACACACACACATCACACACACACACACACACACACACACCCCAAAACCCCAGTAGGATTTATAGAAACTGACATCTGACATGCAATTTATTTGGGAAAAAGCAGTATAATAAAGCCAAAAGAAGTGCAGCCCCTGTCTAGTGTCTTACACGAGCCCATTGGAGACTGACTGCAGATCAAAACAGGAGGGCAACAGGAAAGTTTGTCTTCAGTGGTGGCAGATGCGTCTTAACAGGTCAAAAGAAATGAAATAAAGTACTGAATTTTACCACATGAAAATAATTTCTGTCTGCTAAAAGACATTGGTAAGTAAATGGCACCCTGGAGAGTGGAGGAAGTGTGTGTATGTGCACATCTGGCAGAGGACACCCATCAAGAAATGTAAAAAGCTCCTGTGTATCAGTAAGTGGACAGTCTAGTAGGAATTTGGTAAAGTATTTAGATAAACACATTACAAAAGATTGTCATCCATGTTGTCAAAATATATGTAATGGTGCCAATACCTTGAGGTATCAGGAGAAAGCAAATTCAAACTACAGTGATAGACTCAACACACCAGCCAGGCAGCAGGAAGCATGGAGCATGTGTGGAGTATCTGGAACTCTCTGACTCTTAGCAAGGGTACAAATCACAACAGCCTTTGGAAAAACTGCATGGCAGCATCTCCTGCAGCTGAAAATACACACTGTGGGGTGCCGAGTGTGTTAACCACATTGCAATCTGGCACCAGGGAAGTAGCCCTGGGTAGGTTGGATGTACTGGGACCACGTGAAGATGAACTAGTCTAGTACACAGACACACTGATCAGCTGACTCAGTAATCCCCTAGTCTGAATGGAAGGAGGATTTGGGTTGGGTCACTGGTGGATTGACAGAGAATGGACCCCATAGGCTCCTATGCTTGAATTCTTGGTCCCCAGTTGGAACTGTTTAGGAAGGGTTAGGAGGTGTGGCCTTGTTGGAAGAGATGGCAGTGGGGGTGGACTTTTTCAAAGGCCCACTCCATTCCGGTTAGCATTCTCTCTCTCTCTCTCTCTCTCTCTCTCTCTCTCTCTCTCTCTC